CGTTGCACTCGGTCAGACGCTTTCTCAAGATCAACCTGGAGGATGGCAACCTGATCCAAGTTGAGCATCGCACAACTCTAATACACTTCTCGCAATGTGCACGTTCGTTAAAATAGATCTACCTCGGATACTGCAGGTCTGGAGATCCCCTACTATGTCGCAAAAAACATTCTGTAGTCGTCGGGTGAGAACTTTCATTAATATTTTATAGTCGACGTTGCCTAAAGCAATGGGTCTTTAGTTCTTAACATTTCTTAATTGGTCTGCATCATCTACTTTAGGAATAAGGACAGTATGGGTATTTAGAAAGGAAGGCGGTAACTTTTCTGCCTCATTCGACTCGGTTATTACGTCGTGCAGACGCGCAGCAATATCGTGTTTAAATTTTTTGTAAAATGCCGCAGTTAATCCGTCAGGACCCGGAGCTTTTTTTGTTGCCAGTTCTTCAATAGCCTTCTCAATCTCTGCGACGCTGATCGGTTCTTCTAATTTTTCTGTTATCTCTTCTTCGAGACGGGGCTTTACTACTAGGTATTTCTCAAATTGCGCATCGCTGCCGTGCTCCTGTCGCTGGAAGAGATTACTATAGTATTCAATAAATGCTTTTTCTATATTCTCCGGTTGACCACTTGGTAAGCCTTCGTATTCTATTTGGGCTACGTTTTTTTTTCCCTTTACATGCTTAGCTTGGGCATTTAATGCCCGTTTGGTGGGCTGCTCCCCTAGAATGTATTTAGCGGCTCGGGCCCGCACGATGGCTCGTTTATACTTTTCCACCTCTAAGTCCGCAATTTTGCTTTTTACTGTCTTAATCTCTTCTGAAAGCATGCCTGGGTTTTCATTTTCGAGTCTGCATAGCCGGTGAAGGTCATCAAGGAGCAACTTTTCTTCGGTCTTTTTCCAGTAAGCAAGCGTGCTAGACCGTTCTATTGCACTAAATATAACTTCGCGATTAAACCATTCCCACTTTTCACAGGCGCTCGCCCCCCCCCCTACATGGTGCATTTTACTTAATAATTTATCTACTGTCTCAGTAAAAACTTCATCCTTAAGAAGGTTATTATTCATTTTCCACTGGTCCCAACGAAACTGGGTTTTTTCTTTGAAACTACCAACAATAAATGAAACGAGTGCATGATCAGAGAAAAAAACCGGCAGTACATTATAGTCTTCGTATCTGGTTAAAAGTTCAATTGACACGTAAGCTCTATCAAGACGGGCATGACTCGAGGACTGATAATGTGTGTACCATAAACAATCGTTGGTTCTTTGGTACAGAGCGCGACACTGTTAGCGCGAACAAGCGATCTTCGGTTTTTCCAATTTTTCTTTTTGAAACCTAGGGATGTCATCCAAGTTAATATTGCTACGGGAAGAGCTCATTTAGTTTTATAATGTAAGTGAGAACATTTTGTGCTCACTAATACTATTTTGAAGTAAAATACGAAAAGGCGTCAATGTCGTGTTCGCGCTAACAGTGTCGCGATGTGTACGTCGCGACATCCTCCAAACTGTATTCCGTAATCATCTCGTTTAAAATAATTGCACTACTGTCGCTTTGTCGTGTAACTTTGGATCCGTCCCGTGTGCCACAAACGCAGTTAAAATCACGTAACAAGACAACTTTACGTTGAGAATCTAAATATTGGTCAGTGCTCTGAAAAAACACTTTCCTTTCGTTAATGTCGTTTGGGGCGTATACATTTATGATACTATATTCAACATTAGAAATACTACAGTCGCAAATGACGAGTCGACAAACATTGTCGACTATTACTGACTGGGCTTGTGCGTTCAAAGATTTTCGTAAAAACAGCACACAACCCCCGGACATACCATTTGCCCGCGGCACACACACTTCGAAAGAGTGCAAGAAAGAAGCCAGTAAGCATGCGGTCTCTTCGTCACTTCCAACTTTGGTCTCCTGAATTGCGAGGACATTTATACCTTTGTCGATTAGGAGCCTCTTTACCTGATATTGCTTGCGACGCGAAGCAAAGCCTCGAACGTTAAGTGTCGACAATTTCAGGTTTCCGACATAAATAGACGCCCTCGCATGTCTGGGGCTCACCTTGTCTAGAGAACCGCACCAAGTACCGGCTCATAACCGCATCAGCCGGTCGGCTTGTCCGGTTTTCTGGGTTCGGAAACACAAATTGGTGCGGGCGAGGCTTTCTCCGCCTCGTGGTCACCGTCTTCACAGGCAGCTCCTCCGGGTTCGAGTCATAGCCAACCTTAACAGCGTCCGAGTCTGAATCAGAATCGAGTTCGCGTGGTCGTTTCGTGGCCAAGGCCCCAGTGTCAGCCATATCCACGTCGACGCTTAGCTGCGCCTCAGAAGACACCGTTGGCTCGACGGTTCTCATCCTCTTCCTCCTCCTTCCCCGGCGCAGCGTTGCATGGTGTTTGGTCGAGGCTCGTCTCGGCCACGGCAACTGGCGTGACTTCCGTCATCTTCGGCAACTCTGCAGGCGCTAGTCGGTCGATGTCATGCTTAGCTGTCTCCTCATTGTCTTTGGCAGCGCTGGTGGCACTCGGGGCGACTTCCTCCGCATCTGTCTCGTCCATGACGTGCTCGGCGTTTGTCTCGCCGTTTCGGGCAGCTGCTGCCGCTGCATAAGTCCTCACACATTGGTCAGCGTCATGGCCGAAACGGTGGCACGACTCACACTTGGGCACGCGGCAGTCACGGCGGATGTGGCCGGTCCGCTGGCAGCGCAGGCAGAGCGGCGCCCTGCCCGGCGCTACGGCGAGCGCCAGCCCTCCGGCGATGCGCAATTGATGCGGCAGGTCGTCCAGTGTAAGTCCAGGCTTGAGCCGAATGACAGCCGTTCGCGTCATCGACGCGCAGTTCGCAATGCCTTGCACTCGCCACCTCTCGGTGCCCACCTCGATTACAGTGCCGTACAATGCCAACGCCGCCTTCACCTCGTCATCAGGAACAAGGTACAGCATCAAGTGAAGCTTGAGGCGGATGTCTCGGTTTCTCGGGTCGATGACGAGGCATCGCCGCCCCTTGACGACGAGGTAGCCGGCGGCAAGGGCCTTCCGCTTTCCCTCGGGTGACTTGAAAGTCACAGCCTAGACGTGATTCATCTGGTATGCTCCCAAAGCGGTGACTTCGGGGAGAATTTCCAGACGCTGCAGGGTGTCCCGGAAGTCCTCGGCCTGGGTACGTGCGGCCACGAACGTCAGCATGCAAAAATACGGTGTTTAACACCGCAGAGCCAGTCGGCAGGGGTGGCAGAATAGTCGGGTAGTCGGTAGACGCTGCGTCTTCCCTGGCACCGCGGCCCGGCCAGGCCGCAAAAACCGCTCCGCTGGAGCTCATGATTCCACGTTTGCACGCGCTGGTGTTCGAAATTGGAATGAGCTACGAGCACATTGCTTCTTCGACGTCTCAACTCGTCCTAGTATTTCGTACGTCGAGCGCACAATTCAGATCTCGTGTTAGAGATGTCGCGACGCTTGGATTTTGTAATGGGATTGGCGAGTCATTCCCCGGAGGGCGTTACGGGGGAAATGTGATGACCGAAGAGTCCAGGATTGTTGAGTCATCTGCCAGGGAAAAATGCACTGTCACGATGACGCCACAGATATGGGATCCGGACATTTCGGTGCAGAACGTTTCGGTGTAGGACTTTTCGGTGCGGACTTTTCGGTGCACGGACGTTTCGGTGCACAGACTTTTCGGTGCACGGACTTTTCGGTGCACGGACGTTTCGGTGCACAGACTTTTCGGTGCACGGTCTTTTCGGTACACTGACCTTTCGGTGTAGGAAGCAAGCATAACATCAGGCCACACCCAAGATTTTAACTTGAAACATCGTTGATTCACAAAACACGTGCAATCAAAAATTTAGACGGATACGTTAGGAGCAACGCCTTTCAGAAATCGAAGAGCACGGTTGCGGTCCTACTCTCTAGCGAGTGTCTGCAGGCGCTGGGAAACCTTCACATATTTTGTTGCCGGCTTAAATCGCTGACCCATCTCAAGTTGCGTGAGCCGGTGAAGCTGCTTGCAGTCCTCTTTTTGTAGAGCTTCCAGGAACCTCCAAAGGGACGGGTGAGAGCACTGCACATGAGCCTGGAAGCCCCTGTGCCATGCTTCCACCGAGTTGATGGTCTTGGAGTCGCACTGGAGCACGGTGTCATGGTGATTCCAGAGTTCCACAGGAAACCGTGCGACACGCCTTCCCCCCGCCGTTGGCCGTCCTATGAAGGTATCTGTAAAGTAATCCATCACTGGTTGCAGATCTGAGTGTACGCTGGACGCCAGTTCGGTAAAGATATCCTCCACATCACTCCGGGGTACCATGGAAAGAGCAGGTATTATGCGTGCCTCCAAGTTGATTTGAGGATCACAGGCATATAGTTCTTGATGTCCTTCAGATTGAACCTTGCGATAAACGCGCTACGATAGATGAAAGAAGCACCCACGCACGCACGCACGTCGGATGTTGGCAAGATCGTCTTGAAAGCGTTAATGGCTACAAGTTCCTGGTCCACTATTATGGTGCTTGGCTCGCAGACCCGTCCACACTCGCCAATAAGGGCGCTCAGAGCTCGCGTGTACGTAGGACAGTTTTTACGGGTTAGCAGCATATAAGCCGCGGGCAGAACAGATCCGCTAACCTCACAATGTAGGCTGTAGACTTGAAAAAAAACAGTTCTGGTGCAACCTTGAACAAAGACGGCTCGAGATTTCTTGTATTCGACTCCGGTGTGCAAGATCAGGACCGCTTTCTTATTTTCTGCAGTCCGCAGATGATTGAAGTTCTTCAAACATCCAAGAAATGGTTTGCCAACGTAACATCCAAGAAATGGTTTGCCGACCTACCGTCGGCAAACCATTTCTTGGATGTTTGAAGAACTTCAATCATCTGCTGACTGCAGTAAATAAGAAAGCGGTCCTGATTTGCACACCGGAGTCGAATAAAAGAAACCTCGAGCCGTCTTTCTTCGACGCGTAGTTAGCTGGAATGGCAACCTCTTCTAACCTCAAGGGTAGGGGCATGGGTCTTTGCTCCTTTGCACGAACTCTCCTGCACGTAAAAAAGTTGGGATATCGTTGGCATCACGGTTCAAAACAGTGACACATGTGAATAAGAAATGCGCGCAATGTACGATTTTAAACACTACGACGGGCTACGCCCTAAACACCTCTAGACTGTGAAATAAAAATAGCAAACGACTAGGAAAGTAAGAGGGGAATAGACTGCTCATATTCGTGAACTGTAGCGCGCGCATTGTTACTTATTCTATTTTTATACGAAGCGCCATGCACTTAAGCGCCCTTTCCTGTTCCCCTCTTATTTTCCTAGTCGTTTGCACTCTTTTTTATTTGACAGTCTAGATGTTTAACCGACTAGCCCGTCAGAGGTACGCGTTTAAACACCGTTTTTAACTGAAAAAATAACGAAAGTATGGTAAGTATTTTCCCACTGCCATTTGCTATACCTCTTCTAAACTTTCTCCTCCCAAAATATAATATTAAGGTCTATATTTGCAAACTGGGTAGCAATTATAGTAGCCTAAATGCTTACCTCAATGTTCTCTTGATGGTATCTTGAGGTGGCAGGTAGCTACACGCTTCCGGCGCCATCTCGGTGATGAAGCGCCCGACAATGGCTTGGTTGCATTCTTCCGTTGTTTTGGCTCTCTCCTTCATCGAGGAGTAAGCCAACTTGGCTTCTTGTTCCATTTGGCAGGTGGCATGAGTATGTTCGTTGATGATTTGCACGACTTCCCCATCAATGGTATGTGCTCTTGCCTTGCATTCGAGCTTCCTGCTGCATTTCCAATATGTCTGCGAGGAATAAAAGGTGAATTAAATCGAAGTCGTTTAGAGCGTGACCCTTAAGGACCGTCCACACTGCCCCATTTTCTTACGTTAAGTTACGTTACGAAATATTACGTTGAAGTCACCGGGGCTTCTGTGCTTCATATTAAGTGAGGCTACTAGTTCAAGCAGAAAGCATGACACGCGACATTTGAGGCAGGAATGTTTCGGTCGTAACGTAACTTAACGTAAAAAAATGGGCAGTGTGAATCAGCCTTTAGTTTGGTATTAAAGGGAAGCTGAAACACTTCCTAAGAGAAAAAAAAAAAAAGGAGTCAGATGTGAAGTTTGTCGTATTTTTATCCCTTGAATCTAAATATCAGGTTCGTTTGTTTCCGAAGATGTAACTCAACGCGAGAAAACACGAAAAACCGCCGACCAGTCGCGACGTCATACTAGGATCTTTTGGCAGCCAAGCGCGTGTCGCTCGTGTGGGCAGCGTGTGCAATTGCAAGCTTACCAGGTACATTCCCCCGTACTGACACCAGTCGTGACGTCTCTTTCTGACTTAAAAAAAAAATAGCAAGAGTGCACGTGCATAACTTTGACAGGCGCTGTACATACGTGAGAGCGGAGGTTCCGAAAACTCCTAATATGACGAACCGCCCCGGGAAGGGGGGCTTCAGTCGAACCACATTGAAAAGTAATCTCGATATTTGTGATCCTGGAGGCGCAATGAAGACGATTTAGGTGTTTTCCCTCAAATACAAAACCGCTTCAGTTTTCTTCATGAACAATTAACTAAGACTCATATTCCATCATAGTGATATTATTCTATTCCATGTAAGATTGGGCCACAAAATACGCTAAAACAAGCTCAACAAATTGATTGACTTCGCAGTCTTTCTTACACATTTGAAAACATATCGATATTTAATGCTTTAGGCAAACAGCACTCACCTTCTCTTTGAAGCAGCGCTCCTTGTCGCATTCAAACCCTTCGTGAGGAAGTTTGGACCCTCCACGTTTACTTCGCAAGTAGACCGCCATCCTAAAGCTTGTGGGCAACCTGGCGATTCCAAGCGGTTGGCCCAGGCTGCCCCTCCGACAATCATAAGTGGTCATCTTGGCCACGAGGGGGCCAAGGGCAACTGGCCACGCGAGCGGCGCTCCGCCGCTGATAAAGGGCCGTCGCAGCGGATGCGCGGGGGCTGTTGGGATCGCGGCGCAGGCGATAGCGGTCATTAAATGTTTACGTGTTGTTGAACCGGTGTGCTGTGTCATTCTCCGAGACGGGTAGCAGCAAGGGAAATCCCACAAGCTACCACCTCGACTCAACCAACATCAAATGAAATAGAACGATGACATGCAGATGCCGCACTCTTATCTTCGTTTTTGGACAGTAGTTAGCGCTGTACCAACGTTCCTGGGGCACCAGTAGGTTTTGTTTCTAAGCGGACGTTGTAGATAACAAAGTGTGTAGTTTGGGGTTGGTATGAGGTACTTGGAAAGGAACAAAAGATTCGGGTTTATAACACTGTTTCTGTAACTGCATAATGTTCAGAAAAACAAGCGAGGTAGCCGTGTTCGACACGCCACTGTTTTACTGTTTTCGTACTCTATCTTCTCGGTTTTAATTTCAACCCACTCTATTTCACACTGGTCTCGGGTAGTTTAGAAACATGATCCTCATTGTCCTTTGTGTGTCCCCGTTGCCCTTCTTTTTTGTTTCCTAGTTTAATTCTTAGAGATTTCCAGTGACTTGAAAGGGTTTTGCCCTTCTGTGTTCCCTAGTGTAAGGGTGCAAAGTTGCTAATGGGCTTGAAAGGATTTTGACCAATTCACTTTTGGTGCCTTCCAAAAAAGTGCGCACGCTTTGTTTAGGTGTTATAAAATATATGTTTCAGAAAAGACCGTGCACCGAAAAGTCCGCGCACCGAAACGTCCATACACCGAAAAGTCCGTACACCGAAAAGTCGGTACACCGAAAAGTCCGTGCACCGAAAACTCCGTGCACCGAAATGTCCGTGCACCGAAAAGTCCGCACCGAAAAGTCCGACACCGAAACGTCCTACACCGAAATGTCTTAGACCCCACAGATATGTCGTCCGTAGCCGTGGGATTAGTGACGAGAAATGCATTGTAGCGTTTTCTCCCTGTGGGTCATGTGACCAGCGTCACGTGATATTTGAATCGCTGCGCAGTTGACACCTCGGTTCATAGATGCCGCGTGTCTTTTGTTCCTAAGCGTCTTTTTTGTTAGGGCATGAGCGACATCTTGCGGCGTGGGTCTGACCTTGCGCCATCTGTTGCTGAAAAGTTAGATTGCGCGTCTTCCTAAGGTGTGCGCATCCGTATTTTCGCGCGCGCGCAATGCGTGTGAGTTGCCGAATCTGTTTGTTGATGGCGCGCACCTGAATCCCTCAGCTAGCGTGAACTTTCTCCATTATCACGCGACATTTCTCGATAATGTTAGCGGCAGCTTGGTAGATGTCGACAACTCTCGCGCTCACGGCATCTCTCGCTAACTTTAGCCGTCTGCTGAACGGAGCCTGTGTGGGAGATGGATCGGAGCGTGATCGCATCCATACGCGCTGAAAACGAGACAGATATGATGTTTAATTTTTTTATTATTATTATTCGCTCTAAAAACACGCATACTTATAAATACAAAGACGGTGTTGAAATTCACTCTACGCGACAAGGAAAGCATTGGAAACACTTTACACAAAAATGTAAAGCACAAGCAGTATCAAAACACATCCGAGGCAAAAAAAAAAAAAAAAAATTGTGGAATAACAGAGCAATCCGCGCGTTACAATCCAAAAAAAAAATATTTGAAGTGTCAGGGCGTGGGATGGGAGCAGAGAGATAGGATCCGGCTTCCGTACACTAGCGGAATATACAAAAAATGGACACAAGAAGTTTCAAGACATACCGGTGGGAAATGCGAGCAATTGCGCTACAGTCCAAAATATTTACAAGACGTGTCATGAGGAGGCAGATCGCTCGCTTCCGAAAATGCTCTTGTGACCAAAAGGGAACGTCGTAATCCCGTCGCTGCAAATGTATCGCTTGTTGTCGAACGGATTCAGAGCAATCTTTTCGACCGAGATGCTTTCGTTCTCGTTACGTTTTCGAGCAATCAAGTGCTGCGTCACTCTGTGCAAAGTTTTCGTCTCTAGAGCGTGCCTGTACAGCTCGTAGGTGAACTTGCGAGACTCAGATTTCTTTACTCCCTTGGCTCTTACGCGACACGTGTTGCTGCTTGTTTTGAAGCTGTATAGCTTTGGTTTTAAGCAACAAAAAGCCACTAAGTGAGTAGTCCGATATTCATTTTTTAACACACCGAGCCTCGTTTTGTTTTGGGTTGAAAAGAGCTTGTGACTCTCTGGATGTACAGATGTATCCAAGCATGCGTCTCGGAGTTGAAGCAGTTTGTCGTCTACGTCTGATCCCTGAAGGTGTAGGAAGAAGGAATCCGTGTCGCAGTAAAGAGCCCTCGCTGAGGGGATAGCACGACGAAGCTGATTATGAAAGAAGTCGTACATTACTATTTTTGACATCTTAAGAATTGAAAACCCCACGTAGAGTGGTTGCTTGAGTTTGATCACTTTCGGAGCAAACTGGAAAATTACGACCTGCGAGCTAAGTGCTCGAAACTGCGTCAGGTTCGGCTTCTAGAAAAAGTTTCTGTGTTTCGTCCCTTTAACGCAGAGTTTAATGTGTCCATGTTTACGTGCATTCTCGATCGTTTTGCCATATATGCTGTTCATGAACAGTTTGGAAAGATTCTTCTGGAAGGAGTTGGTTGCTTGCTGTCTCAGCTGGTGGTTAAAATGAATAAACTCCTTCAAGAACGCTCGCTGCGAGAATTTTAGAACTCGGTAAATTTTGGTGACCTCTAGTCCTAACCGGGTCTACAGTTTCAAAATCCGGTAGTGCAAAACGTATTTCGTTTTGTCGTGAAGTGTGAGCAACAGCTTCGTAGTAGATTCCTCTTTGGGCATTTCAAACTTGTCAATCAGATTTTTTTGATAGTCGGATAACCACCCGTAGGGAACGCTTTGCTTCACCGGGGCCAAGGTAAAGTCAGAATGAGTCTCGTGCAAGTGATGAGGATATCTGAGGTCTACCTCCAGAATGTAGCCCGTCGGAGCGTCATCTGGAACGTCACTGTAGTGGACTATTTCACTCTCGCAGGTATGCGACGCGAAGAGAAAGGATATCCAGACCAGTTTGATAGATATAAAGAAAAATAAACTTTAGATTTCAACAGGTAATACAATGATTAAA